TGCCTTGCACCTCGTTACTAGGGCCCCTCGTTATTAAGGGAGCAGCGACGGGCCGGGAGTCTGGGCTCCCAACTGGGCCCTTGGTTTTCCGAGCCGGGTCTGGACCAAAGCACCACGGCTCTGCTAACGAGGCCGGCCCCTGTCTCCCGCAATGAGACAATGCCTCTTTTCTCCATCAGCCTCAGCCGACGACAGGCTGGGAGAGGAGGCACAGTGCAGGCCCCACAGAGCGAGCATTCAGCTTCCTCTAGGGGTGCTCTGGGTCTTTAACACCCCTCCCTCTCAATGGCATCCTTTGTTGTTTCCTCTGCTCAATGAGCTGCAGCTTCTCTCTCCCAAACCACAGCCCTGCAAACACCCACTGTCTGAACTCCTCCTGGAACTGATGCACGTCTGCAAAGAGATTAAGGCCTCAAGTTTGGAAGCAGACTGCTGCTGTATTAAACTCAAACCACGGACAGATGTTACGAGTGCTTTATTGTATCCATCATCCCTAAATCCTCAAAAATAGTGTATAAAGTGGAGCCCTTTTATATTAAAGAGGGTGAAATTAATAAAGATACTGATGCATTACACACCGTGCACAAAACCTAGGAGACACGAACAGCAGCACGTGGTCTAGCCTGGCCCTTGCACTTCATGCAGGGCCTGATGCATACGCTCGCCCTGACAGTCGATGTACTGATGGGGAATATTTCCACTTTGTATAGAGAGGGTTTAGACGGGGCGGATGGAAGAAAACTCGGCTGTTGAATACAATCACATCACTGTGCTTGAACATATTCTAATTGCCCTGTGTAGAAGCTGTCACTGGTCCGTGTAAATTCTGCGAATACTGAATTAACATGCAAAGAAATGTAATTTTATAAACTAGGGCTGCAAATTCTATTCCAATTATCCCATCAAACCAAGATTTGCATCTTAATTAAAGATCTTTATCTTGATTAAAGCTCCAATAGAAGAAAAAACACAAAGGCAGGTTCGCTCTGGATACCAGTTTGCATTCCAGAGGGCTGCAATACAGACTCAGTCCTCATGACCCTGCAGATCTCTCCCATCTCCCTCCTGCCATGCATCAGAGCTTCACTGAGGCAGATTATCTCGCTTGTTCCTGCCTCTTTGCTTTGTTTTTGTAAATGTAACCCCGGTGCTACTCCGCAAATATGCGACCATAAAGCTTCACCTCAAATCAAGTGATCTTCTCCCTGGGGGTGATTCTACGAGCGCTGGGGGTCAAGACCTCTCCCATACCAGACTGATTACACGGGCACATTTCCAGCTGCATGTGTGCTTCTTTCAGAGACCCTCTTTCCCCCTCCTCCCCCTGGACTGCTCACGTCTGGGCCGGGCGTTACGGGGGCTTCCGATGACAGCTCCATGCCGAGTCGGAGCCAAGCAAACCAACCACTGTGCTTCTGAATCCAGCTGTTTCCTGCCGTCCCGAGCTGGCAGCTGCGGCCCGGGTCGACAGGAAGCGCACATCTGGAGCGGCCGGCACCTGCTACCTGCCACTTCCTGCCCGGGTCAGGTGAGCAGGTGACTTGCGCAACGGATCCTGTTGGCCCCCTGAACTTGTGACCCCTGGGGGGTGTTAACAAAAGGTCACCCATCCCCACGCTGCCTGAAGAGGAGCCTCTTCCTTCTGCGTGTTTCACTGCGGCGACTCCTCTCTGGGTGAACGTCTAACAGCGAGCTCCGGGATCATGCTCTGGCTCGTCCTTGCTCGGCATCTTCTAAACTACAACCTGTACGGCAACGGTCACGGCTGTCACATGGCCTCCTCACACCGCGTGTTCCAGCTGGCCCTGCACCCCACTGGTGGCTTCCGAGCGCCATTACCCCACTGTGGCGGCACAAACGGAGAACGTCTGGAACAGGACGCTCGTCGGGGTCTGTGGAAAGGGGCTGCCTATCACTGGGAGCTCCCCGGACACAAGCAGGGGTGACCGGCAGTGGGCTCTATCGCAGGCCAGCTGAGCGGAGCTTTGTCAAACAGGGAGGCTCTGCCCTGTAAATCAGCCTACGGGCCTACAGTAAGGGGACGATGGGAGCAGTTTATATCTACATTCAGCACAGGCGAGATGGGCAAAGGGCACTACGCCAACCGCAACAGCACGCGGCAGACCGGAGAGGAGGGGCCCTCTGGGCACGTACTTGTTGTGCAGGACACACCAGCCGCAGTGCGGGTCTCCGGACCCCAGGCAGGCCCGGCAGGACCGGTACTGGCCACAGCTCTCCACTGGAACCCGGGTCACCTGCAAGACAAGATCGGCAGGGTGAGCCGAAGATCACCCGCAGAGGTCGCCCGCCCGCCTGTCCGCGCTGTGTGGCGCAGCGGAAGGCTTTGTAGCGCGTGCTGATGGAATCCAGCGTACAGGGTCTGAAGCTCACGGAAATCTCCTTTCTTCCACGACCGTTCGGGGTTTTCCAGGTGCATGCAGCGAGCGCGCTCTCGAGCTGGCGTTAGCGTTAGGGTTTGGGTTAGGCTCGGGGCTAGGGGCAGGGGTCACAGGGAGGTCACAGGGGTCAGCATTAGCACCGTGCGTCAGAGATCGCGTGGGCGCTCACTCGAACCTGCCTGATCCCCTCTTTCAACAAGCAGAACCCCACACCGACCCTGTGCTCCTGTGGGTTAGGAGAGGAAGTGAATCAGGGAAAGTCACCCTGCTGGATGTTCCTCATCATTTCTAACATAACGTGAAAAAAATAACAGAAAAAAAAGTCAACTGGGTATGCCGTTTTGCCATGTTGCGGTTATTTCGGAAAGACACAGTCCTGGGTTTGACAATTTGAGAAACAAGAACACCTCTGTGCTTTGGGGTTTCGGGGTCAGGCAGCACTAATTAATTTGACTGACACTTTTGAACAGCAGGAGCTGCATTCATTCACACAGCAGGGGAGCAGGTCTGAGTGAAATACCACATGGGGTTAGAACCTGCGGCCTTCTGCTCTGAACATCACTACCCTTACCCGCTATTCCATGCTGCTACCCAGAACATACTGCTTTACACACAGGGTTGTAGGGGTCTGGGACGATCTACCCAGCCATGTTGTTGAAGCTTTCAAGAAACAGGATGAAATGCTTAGATCAACTAATAAGCAGGTTAGGCGACCCCAATTAGGCCTTCTCTTGTGTGAAGGCTTTCTTCTGTTCTTATGGGGTGTATTCCAGTACAAGACTCTAAACAGTGGAGGGTGTCGGTTTTCAAGCTCGTGAGACAGCCTGGGCCTGTGAGCTGGCCCAGGTTGCTCGCTGACTGAAGTCCGCTCACTCATACAAGAACAATTCCCACGCAGGTCCTCTCTCGGTATTCCTGAAGGACGCCTCCGGGAGAGTTACACAGATCTACAGGCATTCTTCCTTCCAGTCCTGCACAATCTCCTCGCATGACTGGCCAGACCTGCGGAGACCAGCGTGTCTGCGTGCTCAGTCACTCCTGTCTGGACTAAACTCTTTCACCGTCGAGTGCCAGAAAACCGTTAGTGCTGTTTTGCTTTCCTCCACAAGACAAAAAGACCGGAACAAACAGCTGCAGCGACTCCACTGTGGCAGAAAAGGCGCGATCATGTATGTGGGGGGGCTGAAACTTCCACAAAGATACAGAGGTTTGAGCGCGGCGGAGGCAGGTGGGAATCAAAGCGCCGAGCTGCAGCAGCGATGCCGAGAGCTGTCACTCCCGGC